GATTGTTGCAGCACCTGCCCGGGTGGCTGGTTTCAGACGATCTTAGAGATGAAGATGCTGGATGTGGAGGTCCTGGGCTGGTGTGGTTACACATGGTCTGCGGTTGTGAGGCCGGTTGGATGTACTGCCAAATTCTCTGAAACGCCTTATGCTAGAGAAATGAACATTCAATTAAAGGGCAACAGCACCGGTGGACATTCCTGTAGTCAGCATGCAAATTGCACGCTCCCTCAAAACTTGCGACATCTGTGGCATTGTGCTGTGTGATAAAACTGCACATTTTAGGGTGGCCTTTCCTTGTGGCCAGCCTAAGGCACACCTTTGCAAAAAATCATGCTGTCTAATCAGCATCTTGCTATGCCACACCTGTGAGGTGGATGGATTATCTCGACAAAGGAGAAGTGCTCACTAACACAGATTTAGGCAGATTTGTGAACAATATTCGAGAGAAATAGGCTTTTTGTGTACATAGAAATAGTCTTAGATCTTTGAGTTCAGCTCATGAAAAATAAGGGCAAAAACAAAAGTGTTGCGTTTATAATTTTGTTCAGTGTATATTGAGTTTTTTTTTTAAATTTAACTTCCTTCATAATGCTTAGGCATAGGGTAACAGGTAAGGGTATTTGATGAGTCATACAAAGTTATTATTCCTCTCCACCCAATCACAAAAATGGAAGCCCTTCTTAAAAAAGTGCTCATGACCTCAAACTGCTTCATTTTTGTAGAGCTCGTTTGCATGGCGGTTTTAGGTATATGATATACATAAAAATATACAGTAAAACTCCATAACTGATTTATTTTTGCTCACATTTACTTAATTTGCTCATAATGAGTCACAGATAATTTTAGACAGATATTGACTAATGCTATGGGTTTTGTATTGTCTAAGTATTTTCTAGAGGTCAGCCGGTTTATTTACTCTGGATAGTGTGTATTAGCGGGTGGTAAACTGCAAATAAATTCCTTGTTGCATGTTTTGTCATCCAACAATGATGCTAACATAAATCCCTGGGACTGATAAATATAGTAAGGTATTAAAGATATTTGTACCTTCTATTGATTTTTCCATTTTTGTTCCAACGTGTTTCCAAATATTTTTTAAATTTTCTGCTTTCTTTCCTGCTGTTTATTTCTTCCTCACTTTATTAATTTTATCCTACATTATTTCCAATCTTTCTCACCTCTTTTATCTTTGGTATTTCCCTCCACCAACTCAGATCATTCTGTTCCTTCTATCTTGTGTAGGGACTTTTATATGGCAGATGTCAGCATTTCGCGTTCCAACTCATTTCACTGATTTTTTTTTTTTTTCTTGACTGCTCAGGCTCCCTTATTACTGGCAAGCACCACCACTAATTCTGTCTCTTCTCCTCCATGTCCTTATGTGAATATGAACAAGACCACAATTTATAGTTTCCAAAACAAAAAAAAAACCCTCAAAATAAAGTAGAACAAATGAAAAATAATACTTTATTAAAGATATGACGATCCATGCATTAAAAGGTATTTAGCAATTCCTGCCCTATATCATAATTTTTATCTTTTCATGAATAGATAAAAATGCTTAAAGTAAAAATAAATCAAGTTTTCAGTAGCATGTCTAAATATGGTTCAGTACATTAAATAACAAGTGTGATGGTGACGCCATTACATAAGTAAACCACTTATCACTATAACACAGTAAAACCTCATTACCCCTGTCTGTAAAAATGATGGGGATACAAAGAAGAAGATAAAAAACAAATATGCTACAGCAAGTGTCATCCTATATTCTTAAGCATTTGGTTTGCTTAATATTATCTATATATGTCCTAACTGGGATTATAAATATAAATTTAGAAATTCAGCAATTGTATTGTGGTAGCAATAATGCCATGAATTGTGTGTCCTAGTATTGTTGTATTACACACAAAGCAAATATATGCATTAGCGGCCCTTTAAATGGTAGTCCCGGCTCCACTGCTATCTTACTCGACCAACAGCAGATCGAGTTATTGAATAATTAAGTTGCATCTCTACATCTTAGCATTTTATCTGTTTGTACCCCATTTTTTTTTTTTTACATTTATTTAAACCCATTTTTGTTTTTTTGCACAGTGCTTTTGGAACCTGCCCTTGGGGCCTGGTTTCATGATGGAATCTATTGAACATGATCACATTGAATAAAGTGGTAGAGGGCACAGAGTGACTGAAAATGCTTGCATGTTAAAAATATATTTTTTTTTTCTTTGACACATATGTCACATTGTGTAGTTACATTATGATCATTATATGTATTGAAAAAATAGCACTATCAAAATATCAAGTTTCAAATATCAAGCAATTTTTGACTATTGCATTCTTTACAGCAACCATATAATACTAATCTTTGTCACTGTGAATAAGGTCACCATTGAGATTGTGTATGTAGGATTGACTGATACTGATGATAGTTGAAGTACAAAGCATTTTCCTTGACCACAGTGGTTAGCTGGTGCCAGTTCCTCTGATAATGTACAACATGGGCTATCCAGCCCTATAGGATTCCACCATCAATGGATGCCATCTAAATCATGTGATACTTTGAACACATCAATTTACTTTCACTATTTTTGAATTGAATAACCCATCAGGGTTGTGCAGGAAAACTTTATTTTACTAGATCTTTTTCAAATTTATTTACGTTTTTATTTAATCTTGTTTTCACGTCTATGTTATGTTGTATTTCAATCTGGTAAGGTACTAAACAATCAAATACAGTTTACAGGTTGTCACCTTTGGAATATCAATGGCATGTGTTGCATGCATTTTCTACACTACTTTAGTTTTAGCACCACCACATCAGATTTCTCCTCACAGTCTTAGAAACCCAATATTTGCACATAGAACACACTGAATTTTCACTGTTTTGGTCTCCTAACTATCTCAGGTGCTACATTGTATTTTGTCAGTTCAGAGCATTATAACATGCATGGGTCCCATCTTACATTTTATACTTGTGTTATATATAACTTATTTTTATCATGTAGACTGCTCGAGCCAGGAAAACACACAACAGGTGAGGTAGCTAGGTAGATGCTTAAAAGAAAACACACATTTAGAGAAATTTACAAAAACACAAGGGAGATATTATTCACTTATCACTATATGTCCATTGTGTCATATCCTACTTTATATACAGTCATCATCCTAACATGATGTATGTTACAATAAAAGCAAAATGATGCAATGCAGTTATTAAATGGATACCATAGGCATCATAAACATCTTTAGATCAATGAAGCAGCTTTGGTGTACAGCTCACACCCTTTTAGTATCATTGCTAAATTCTCTACTAATTAATAGATAAATCACCTTTGTTTCTCACACAGCTTACAAGGAAAAAAATTAGCATTTTCAGACTTTAACTTGATTTAGAAGTTTTTATCTCCTTCTCTGTAAATTGAACTTTAATCACACACAGGAGGCTCCTGCATCCAGCTGTGTATTTACCGCAAGGCTGACAAGGCATTTGCCTTGGGCGGCACTTTCAGGGATCGACAAAAAAATCCGCCCCTCCAAATGCCCTGGCAAATGTCTTGCCAGACTCTTGTCCTGGGGGGCCCAAGATCTGGCCGGCTGGCCGACTCAGGCCCCCTCCACCCCCGAGGCTGACATCTACCTTATCTGGGAGGCGGGTGGCGAGTTAGCACTCTCCCTTGAGCTCTTCCCTGCTCAGCTCCCTTGCGCGCACTGCAATGATGCTGGAGCCAGAAATATGATGTCACTCTGGCCTCGACATCGATAAGAGGTGCGCGAGGTTACTGAGCAGGGTAGATCACTGATCCCTCGCCGCCCACCTCCACTCTGCTCCTGCCTGCCTGCCCGACTGCCGAGCTGCAGCCAGCCCCACTGGACCACAGGGAAGAATCCACTCCAGCACTCCTCAAGGTAAGGAGGCTGGGTGGATTGAACTTGAATTTTTTTTAATTTTAAATTGTGTGTGTTAGTGTTTGTGTCTGTTAGTGAGTGCTATTGTGTCTGTTAGTGAGTGTTAGTGTGTGTCTGTTAGTGAGAGTGTGTCTGTCAATGTGAGTGTATATGTTTGTCAGTGAGTGTGTATGTGTGTCTGTCAGTGTGTGTATCTGTCACTGAGTCTGTCTGTCAGTGTATGTATGCATGTTTCAGCGTGTGTCGGTGTGTGTATCTGTGTCTGACAGTGTGTGTATTCATGTCTGTCAGTGTGTGTATGTGTGTCTGTCACTGAGAGTGTGTGTCAGTGAATGTGTATGTCTGGCAGTGTGTGTCTGTCAGCTAGTGCTCGTGTGTCTGTCAGTCAATGTGTGTCGGACACTGAGTGCGTATATGTCTGTCAGTGAGTGTGTCCCAGAGTGTGTTTGTCTGACACTGAGTGAGTGTATATGCATTTCTGTCAGTGAGTGTGTAGGTGTCTGTCGGTGAATGCAAGTCTGTCAGCTTTAACAAAGCTTTTAGAAAGGTGGTGCAAGTGGCACGCAGGGAGGTGTTAATAGGGCTGCATAAACAAAGTGATTTAACTCCTAAATTGCAAGGAAGTGAGCAGTGACACTGCAGAGGCATGATCTATACATCAAAACTGCTTAATTTAGCTAAAGTTGCTTTGTGCCTATAGTGTCCTTTTAAACATCCGTTTCTATGTTAGAAATATGAACTACTAATAGGTAATATGAATTAAAGTATGCATCAATGGATCACAATATATAATGCATCTATTAGTATTAGATATGGTAATTAATACCTATCAGTTGAAATTTGGTCATAGATGTAAGCTTATTCTAAAACTCACTGTATTCAAACATTGAATATAAATGGGCAGGAAAACAGAGCTACTTTATTTGTTGAAAACTGGTAGAAGATTTAGTCAGAGCTTGTTAAAACAACCTCTTCATTCTAGTACTTCTTTCTCTAGTTTAGGGAATATATGTATTAGCGACCTGGGATTTCTGTACAGAATTAGTTTTCATGGACACGGGAGAGATTGATGTAGTTAATGTCTGCTGTGGTTAAACTGGTCCATCACCCTGTGTGTGAAATGAAAAAAGATTATTATTTAATATGCAAAATGAATAATATATTTCAATAAACAAATCATGATTGAGGACTTAATTTAACTATTTGAATACACAGAGCTAGGTTTTTTTTTTTAACGGTGCATGGCGTGACAATCATTAATTAGTTTTATTATGAGATTCATTATTTGATAATACATAAATGGAAAAAAAAAATTACTTTAATGTTCATGATAACTGTTTAATTATGTGGCCACAATTACTGCCCAGTCCAGTTGCAACATCTTGCTGTCACTAATATGTACACAGTCTCTTCCTGGTTAAGGAGAGGTCTTCCTAATGTTGAAGTCAGCTTCTCTAAGTTGTGCAGCATTAGGTTCCTGGAAGCTAAGTATTTCTTTACCTTTATTTAGTGTGCTATCAGCACCAACGTTACATTAAGGTTGCCACTTTAAGGACCCTGGTGATTGAGGAGATTGTGCAGAATACTCCTCGACCAGCCTAAGCAGAGCAGTGTATTCAAGGGCCAGTGGGCCACACTGGCCCGTTGCACCCACTGTAGGGGGTTTAAAGATCTTCTGGTTTGCACCTTCTTCTGGGTACAAATGAGTGCAAAGCTCCCTTAAGCTCTGGCTTACCATGGTAACACTCTGATACTATGAGTCTGGAGCTTGCACGAATCATTACCTAAGATCTGCCCCGGCTGAGGGTGCAGACCATAGGCTCTCCCCTCTGGATGACCAGGGAAAGGGATGGATGAAACTTTTATTTTTGTTTCAATGACAAAAACACAATATATTTATTTTATTATAATAATAATGAAATTAAATGCCCCCACAAATTAAAGCCCTATCTCACCCTCTCACACGCACTCTCTCCCTATGCCCCAATACATCCCATACATACTGAATCCCATATGAGAGCAATTCATGCTTTAAACCATGTGAAAAGGGGTGAAATATACATTGATGACATAATATGTACCAACTATGAACTTACCCCACAACATCCAGATTTACAGCCAACACAGAACATCCCAATCAGTCCATTGATGGCCTGAATTGCACAGAGCAGAGCCTGGACTGCACTCATTATCAGGAGCAAGGAGAATAGAGTTAGGTTCCATGGCACAATATCTTTAGGTTCTTCACACCTGTTCCATATGCCTGGTTTCCCCAGGTGTTCTCTGCAAACAACAATATTGGTATAAAATACTCGTCTCATTGATACCTTTTTATTTTCAATTTATGTGAGCAAATAATTGTACTTTTCATGTCTTAATTATTAAATACAATGCTCACATTTTTGCTGGGTTTTCTTGCAAAGGGTATATGAACTTTCAGATATAGAAGATGGTGGACAAAAACAAATATAAATCACAAAAATTAAAAAAATTAAATAAAATATATATACAACCACTATATATGCAGTGTACTCCACCAACTTAGTTGGTGTGCCCTCTAAACATCAAACAAGTTAAGAAGAACAAAACATAGGTGAGGTGAGCAAAAAGTGGATAATATTACCTAACCGAGGGGAATATATGCCACCTTACAATGATCAAAGTTGAAATATATCCAGCAATCTAGAAAAAATTATGATTAATGATACTAGAGGTAATTAAAGAAATTTAGGTTAACAGGGGTCTACTAAATATTAACCAGATTGAGTTTCTGGTTGAATGTATACATTTTGTATTGACCAGAAATTATTTATGGTTCCATTCTACATTCTTCTTAGAGCTGTGTGGCATCGCCATGGGAACAAGATTTGCCCCCACCAGCTTCGTCAGTCTGTTTGTATCCCATTTGTAACATTTACATATACATTTGGGCGAGGTTTGTGGGAGCAGTCTTGTCCTATGGCGATGTTACATTGATGATGTTTTGATCATATGGGAAGGATCTACAGAAAGCCTCATTTCTATTATTGAAACTATAAATAACAATAAATATAACTTGAATTTTACATGTGTCATAATTAAAACACAAATCAATTTTCTAGACCTGACCCTTTATGTAAAAGAGGATCAACTAAAAAGTAAAAAGTTTTTTAAAAGCACAGACTGCAATATGACTATAGACCGAAACAGTCTACACTATCCACCCTGGCTCACAAACATACCTAAGGGGCCAAATTACACATTTGAGGAGGAACTGTTCAGATGAAATAACATTTAACGAACAAGTTTCAATTAAAAAGGAGCGGTACTTAGAGAAAGGTTATGATCCAGAAAAAATGAAAAGGGATGAAGAATATGTAAATTCATTGGATAGAAAAACCTTACTCACCGACAACAAAACCAATTTAAGAAATAGAGATGTAAAGAAATTTGCATATGCCTTTGTAGCTAAATACAATTCCCAAGCCAGAAAAATAGAAAGTATCCTAAAGAGACATTGGCATATACTAAAAAAGGATGAAGTATTGGGTCAAGTCATTCCAGATCGACCAACAGCTCTCTACTAAAAGGCAGACAATTTAAAACATCAACTTGTGCCCAGCCTTTTGAAAAAAACATACTAAAAAAATTCCTAGATTATTCGACTTGCAAGGTTTTTTTTTTAGCTGTGGAAGATGCTCCATATGTAAACATCAGAGGAGAAAGACATATAGTTTTGAAAGAACATATACTAAAATATAATATATAAGAAAATGTATACAATGCTCCAGTACTTTTGTTGTAGCAAGGTTTACAGCATGAGACAGACTTGGGACACCATGACCACTTAAAATCACTAAAAGGTAATGGTGCCTGTAATAACCCTTTAACTAAATGTTCAGGAATTCAAAGTGGAATAAAAATAGATTTCAAATTTGAAATGATTTGTCACAACAAATCACTCTTTAATGAATAACCCTATTATTTACTGTACACAATACAGAGTGAAAAATGGGACATGAGTGATGTTGGTAAAGTATGTTATTAAATATATATACTGTGCTCTGACCAGCTCTGGAGATTATTATATCCCTTTGATCAAATAAAAGCTGTAATTACATCAATGAATAATAAAACAGGAGAATTGAGTTTATGGCACCATTGTGTAATTATATGAAACCATCTGGGAATGGACATGTCCTTGCTTTACCTATGTTTGTATTTCCATTCGGTAGTAGTCACTAAAATTACCTTTTTGGCAGGTAATATAACTTTTAAAATTATTATATAATACACGATACATCGATGTTCTAATGAATACAAAACGTTAAGAAAATGCTTAGAAACAGAGAAAATAGGAGGACTATTTTCATATAAACAGTATCTCTACAAAATTTGACTTTTTTTTCCTAAAAACATGATGTGATTTAAGTTGAACAGATGTGATAATATAGGGCAGTGCCCTAATCATATGACAAAGATGTTGTTTGGAGAGAATGACTGAATAGCCACTGAGTAATGTTTGCACTAGATATGATAACTCAATTATACCATTAAAGGTAATAATTAATTGAACCAAAAGCAGAAGGGGATAAATTTTAACAGCAGAAATGGTAAATAATAACATCATAATATCGTGAGAACTCCTAGTCACAGGAATAAATGGGCAGCCTAACTGTAGTTTAAAAGTAAAAGAAAATTGTGGTTTGAATCAAGACGTAATAATGATTGTGTTTTACACAGCTGCCATTGTAGGTATTAATCATGGCAGAAAAATTGTCCCAATCTAATCTCAAGATGAGAGCAGATGGAGGCAAGACAGGTATTGATTGTACAGAAGGCTAAATTACAGACTAAGGGAGTGCCTGACATTATCTTTTCTCCGGAACATGCTTGAAGCAATATGAAGCTGGCCAATTAAAGAATTATAATCCAAAATGTTGAATACTTATCACTGGATATGTTTGTGTTTAGTTATATTGCAGCCAAGCTTCGTATAAACCAGTTAGCACAAGTTGCATTATATAGCAGGCAAGCAAAAATTAGAATTGGAACATTCTATCTATATCTCTATATTTCTCAGATGTAAGACGTATTAGCTGGGGATGTTTACTAAACTGGCTACACTGTCACCAAGTACAAACTAGACTTAGAACTAGAACTAGAAATTGCAATTAGATACATTAAAGGGTCACTGCAGTCCCCTAAAGCACTTTATCTTGCTGAAGTACTTTACATGTGGAGAGTGTGTCCTCTTTTTATCATATTACAAAAAAAGCATAGATTTCAATAGAAAGTAAAACTTTTATAAATTGACCTTGCTACACCCCGCAGGCTTTCAAGCACATATATGGTACTGTTGCTTTATGGTTTGTTTAGCTCAGTGAGGGCGAACTTTTTTGAGCCCGAGTGCCCAAAACGCAATACATGCCAACTTTTTTACTTAAAGTGCCAACACGGCAATTAAACCTGAATACTGAGGTTTAATTTTAGAAAAAACAACTCGTACTGTTGTCCGAACTAATGAACAACTTTTGTTTTAAAAGAACACAACAACAGAGAGTTCAATGATACAAATTTTAAATAATGATATAAATAGATAAAATTAAGCTTATATTTATTAGTATCTCCCACAAATGCAATACATACACACACAGACTGCTGAAAACAGACTAATGAATACACACACAGACTGCTGAATACATACACATACAGTCCGCTGAATACACACACTACTGAATACAAACAAACAGACTGCTGAATACACGCACACACACAGACTGCTGAATACACACACACACACACACACACACACACACACAGAGAGACTGCTGAATACATACACACACAGACTGCTGAATACAAACACATACTGCATTGAGGGGTGCAGTGTATGTGTTTTTTTGTGTGGGGTGCTGTGTGTGTGGGAGGGGTGCTGTGTGTCTGAGGGTTGCTGTGTGTGTGTGTGGGGTGCTGTGTATGTGTGAGGTGTGTGTGTGTGTGTGTGTGTGTATGAGGGGTGCTGTGTGTGTATGTGGGGTGCTGTGTGTGTGTGTGAGGGGTGTGTGTGTGTATGAGGGGTACTGTATGTGTGTGTGAGGGGTGCTGTGTGTGTGTGTATGAGGGTGCTGTGTGTGTGTGTGAGGGTGTGTGTGTGTATGGGGGTACTATGTATGTGTGAGGGGTAGGGGTGCACAATGTGTAGGGGGGGTAGAGGTGCTGTGTGGGGGGTTGGGGTGATGTGTGTGGGGGTAGGGGTGATGCGTGGGGGTACTGCTTGAGTGTAGGGGAGAGGGGAGGATGCACAGGTGTGGGGGTAGGGGTGCTGGGAGGTGGGAGGGTGCTGTGTGGGTGGCAGGGGGGTGCTGTGTGGGGGTAGGGTTGCTATATTTGGGGTAGGAGTACTGTATGTGTTTGTGGGGGTAGGGGTGCTGTATGTGTGCTGTGTTGGGGTAGGGGTGCTGTGTGTGTGGGGGTAGGGGGTGCTGTGTGTGGGGTGGGAGTGATGTGTGTGGGAGTAGGGGTGATCACGTGGGGAATACAGCGGGTGTGGGGAGGGAGGGATGCTGGGTGTGTGGGGGTAGGGGTGCTGGGAGGGTGGGGTGCCTGTAGCCAAGGTGCTTGAGGGGTGCTGTGTAAGAGGTAGAGTGCTGCTGTGTTGGGGTAGAGTGTGTGTGTGTGGTAGGGGTACTGTGTGTGTGTTTGTAGGGAGGTAGGGGTGCTGTGTATGTGTGTGTATTTGTTAGGGTAGGGGTGCTGTGTGTGTGGGGTAGGGGTGCTGTGTGTGTGTAGGGGTAGGGGGTGCTGTGTGTGTGTGTAAGGGGAGTTAGAGGTGCTGTGTGTGTGTGGGGGTAGGGGGTGCTGTGTGTGTGTGTGGGGGGTAGGGGTGCTGTGTGTGGGGGTACTGTGTGTGTGGGGGTACAGGGTGCTGTGTGTAGGGGTAGGGGTGCTGTGTGTGAGGAGTAGGGGGTGCTGTGTGTGTGTGTGTGTGGGAGGAAAGGGGTACTGTGTGTGGGGGTACAGGGTGCTGTGTGTGGGGTAGGGATGTGTGTGTGGGGGTTGGGGTGCTGTGTGTGGGGGGTACATAGGATAGGGGTGCTGTGGGGGGTATGGGTGCTGTGTGGGGGGGTAGGGCGTGTGGGGGGTAAAGGAGTTTTAAAAAAAAATATGCTTAATCAGTATCCCCCCCTTTCTTACCTTTAATGAAGGAGGGGGGACACAGCCATCCCTGGTGGTCCGGTGGTGGTAAGTACTGCTTCTAGGTCGGGAGGCAGTGGGAGTCATCTGTGAAGCTGCTCTCCTGTCCTCCTGCGTGATGCTGTGTGGAGCGTTGCCTTGGTAACGCGTGGTAACGCGTGGCAACGCTCCATACTGATTGCTCGCGGGAGGACAGGAGAGCTGCTTCACAGATCACTCCCCCTGCCTCCCAACACGGAAGCAGAGTAGGCGCCTGCGGTTTTGGGCAGGCAGGTGCCTACTCTGCATTGATGGCAAACCTGTGGACGCGTGCCCACGCAGAATTTCTTATCTTGTCTGCCTATTTCAATTATTTACATTTTTAAATGTGGAACGTTAGGTGATGTTTAATGGATGTTATTTAAAGTGACAGTGTGTTATATTGTGAGGTATTGGCTCTATTGGAAAGTTTTATTAAAGCAAATTATATTGTACTGTCAGGATAAATATCAGAGGTTTTATATATTTTCTAAAAGTTATACATATACCTAGATTTAGGGGGCAGAGCCTGACAGCCAACCGAGTAGGTCGCAAATGGCTGAAACTCCTCAGTTTTAGCTTGGAATATTGCTGATTAATCTGCAAAATCATTCTTTCTTAGCCTTAAAAATCACTATATTAATAGAGGACTACTCTGCCGAGTGAAGAGCCTGAGCCTTACTTGTACTGGCAGCTGCTGACCTTATCGGGCTTTCTTGAGGCCTATGGTGACATCTGGGGCAGAGAATGCAGCCGATCCTCTGCCCTAGATTGGTACCAGTCTAACTTGGGCCCTCTCCCCCATCCTTTGGACTGGCAGGGTTATCCCGGTCCCCAATGGTGTGCCCTGCCAAGTGCCTGTCTACTTATACCTGCCAAGCTGGATCCACGTATATTATTATTATTATTATTATTTTATTATTTATATAGCGCCAGCAAATTCCATAGCGCTGTACAATTGGTGGACTAACAGACGCGTAATTGTAACCAGACAAATGGACGCACAGGAACAGAGGGGTTGAGGGCCCTGCTCAATGAGCTTGCATGCTAGAGGGAGTGGAGTATAGTGACACAAAGGGTATAAGTAGGGGTCATGAAATAGGTTGATAGAAAACCTTAAGTTATTTTTTACAGTTGCAGGAGAGGAGTCATGGGGGGGTGGGGGAAAATAAAAACCCGCTAACAGTTTCAAATGATATGCTCTCCTGAAGAGCTGTGTTTTCAAAGATTTTTTGAAGGACTGGAGACTAAGTGAAAGTCTAACGGAGAAGGGAAGGGAGTTCCACAGAAAAGGTGCCTCCCTGGAGAAGTCTTGGAGGCGAGCATCAGATGTGGGAGTACGGACAGAGGATAGATGTAGGTCATTGGCAGAGCACAGGGGCCTCTACGGGACATACTTGTGTATTAGGGAGAATAGGTAGGTTGGAGCAGCATTATGTTGGAACTTGTAAGCAAGCACCAGAATGTTAAATTGAGCCCTATATCTAACTGGAAGCCAATGTAAGGACTGACAGAGGGGGACCTGTGCTCCATATTGTCACGATTCGGGGAACCCAACACGCTGGCACACACACACACAGAAAAGGGGCCGTACCGGACCTTAGAGTGGCCGGGCTAAGCACACACAGAATAGTCAGGAGACAAGCCGAGTAAGGGGAACCAGAAGACAGAATAACGTGAAACGAGCCGAGGTCAAAGGGTAGGAGAAAGTCACAGCGTCAGATAAACAAGCCAGAGAGTACCTAACCAGAAACACAAGGTAAGTAGCAATACAAGTAAGCAAAGACCTCAACAGGGCAGGGAGGAACAGGAAAGGTAAGTATTTAAACCATAAGGTTAATTCTGATTGGATAATTTCCAATCAGAATTAACAATCACACGTGGGAGATATCTAGACCTCCCACTGTGATTGAGACACTGTGCCTTTAACGCCGGGTCAGGTGACTGACCCCGGCGTGTACTAACTTGGGCGGTCTCCCAGCATGCAGCGTCATGTATGCTGCCGCTGGGGGACGTGGAGGAAACGGCGGGCGGCATCCGAGGCTGGAAGGATGCCGCTCGCTGAGCCCACGAGGAGGAGGGGACCGCGGCTGGAGGGTGAGTACCGCGAGCGGAGTGCAGCCTCCTCTCGCAGCCGCCCGCGGGATCCCGACACATATTCTTGAACAAGATCAGTAATCGCAAAGTGAAAAAGTGAATACTATACCTATGTGTCAGGGCATGGCAGTCCAGATCAAGTCCCTTGGAGGATGTGTCCCAGTGAGGTTCCCATTGTGGCCTTGTGCATGGCACAGGCGGTGGAAAGAAGAGCACGGGAGCTGCTGGGGGCGCAACCTACATTTATCTTCACATCGGCGCTCTGGAGGAGGCCTAATCTGCACACTCAATCCGCTTAGTCACGGGGTCCCGCTCAGTGAGGCCGAACGCCTGTTCAAGAAACTGGTCATTGCTGACTTCATAGAGGCACAAAGCAGGATCATATTGGCATTTGGAGCTGGTGGTGTGCCCATCCATGACTGGGTGGACTCAAGCAGTGTTGTGCCCGTAGCCTCCCATCCACAGACATTGGCTGAGCAGTCCTGTGAGCAAAGTGCACATTCACTGCAACTGATGATGATGTAATGTGTTATAATGATATGGGCCTGAAGTGCGTTCCTATTAATTTTATTTCTGTTTGTTCTTATATGCTGCACTGTAATCGAGCAACCCAGTGCTTATATACATTGTATATATTGTATTTTCTTGCAGTCCACCACTCTCTTAATGTTTACCTAGATATTGACTTAGTTTAGTAGAGTAGAGTTGCTTTGTTTATAACCTATTGCCTATATATTCTCTCACAGTGCATACTGAGGAACATAGTTTATGGATTTAATGCCTGAGCCCTTGCACTTTGCATGTCTGTTATTTTACCTTCTGCTGTTATTTTAAAAAATGAGTGGCAAATGAGCCGTACACTAACTTCTACATTCTTGTTCATATATTTGCTCAGAGGTTATTGTACACTGTTTTCTTTTGCTTGTAATGTCTCTGTATCACTCAATAAAAAATTTGATTGACGTATGCCAAGATTTAAGAAGTTTAGAAATTGCAATCTGTACTACCACACTGTTTATCTTTAGCCTAATAATCTTCAGTTACTGTGGCTTTGCAGTCTTCTTAGATATAAAACTATAAAAGCTATTCACAGTGAGTAAGGGCCAAGTCATACATTTGATTAAAACATTACTAATCTCAAACTAACCCCTAAACAAGCCACATATGTTAACAAAACATTAGCATGATGGAGACTTATAGAAAAGTAAGTGGATCTGCATTAATATTTAAAAGTTATATATTCACACCAGCAGTATACATAGCCCAAGTTAGTCAACAGACTTAAACGGTTACTCTAACCAAAAAAACTGTTTTCGTATTAATCCTTTGTGAGGTGGCTGATCCTCCCAAAATGTAAAACAAAAAAATAATAAAGCATGAAACTCAGGGCCGGATTAACATAGGGGCTGATGGAGCTGGAGGTCCAGGTCAATTGATTTAAAAAGTTGTGTGTATATATATATATATATATATATATATTTTTTTTTTTTTTACTACTCTTCACATGCTCTAGTTTAAAGGGACACTCCAGGCACCCAGACCACTTCTGCCCACTGGAGTGGTCTGGAGTGGTCTGGGTGCCAACTCCCACTACCCTTAATCCTGCAACTGTAAATATTGCAGTTTTCATAAACTGCAATAATTACATTGCAGGGTTAACTCCTCCTCTAGTGGCTGTCTACTAGACAGCCACTAGAGGGCACTTCCTGGTCTATAGCACAGGTTTTAAAACTGGTGTGGACTGGCTGACAATTCAATTAATTAAAATTGACTTTGCGCACTAAGCAAAGGCTCTTGCTGCTTTTGTCTCTGTAACACTGTGGCATGTCCCCTTTCCTCTACACTCACTACATACACATTTCCTCTGTCCCAGACCATATAACAGGAGCTTCTGCTTGCTAGTAAGAAGGGTAGGAGAGGAGTGGACTAGAGAGTGCTAGGGGACAGTCCTTAAAAAGCTTAGAGCTAGCGCATCATTAGATGCATTTATGCCAAGTTCAGGGTGCTGTCTGCACAGTATGCCCTTGGTTGGTCATCCTGCATGATTGGCAGGCAGCCTGATGTGCTGCCTTTTTGGACATGTTTGACCCTTTGTGCTGTTCTTGTTACATGATTTACATCAGTGGCCCACCCTTTTACCCCATCCACTGACATCCTGCTTCACCAGACACATCAGCTAAGGGGTTAATATCGGTATGGGCTGCATTTCATAGAGACATACTCTTTAAGTTCAATACATTAACACTGACATAAGTATTTACATCACAAGGCCTTAAAAATCACAGGTTCAAATACTAAATTGTGAATTGTCAGGAATTAATTTAGGCCAAAATCACTCAATGATAAAAAAAAAAAAAAGAATCAGCTATGTTTTCAACTTGTCTATTTTGGAAATTATTTGAATTTTTAATTCACTTTGATTTCTAGACATTTCACACTTTAGTGTAAATCCTGTGCCAAGCATTAATCAATAATAGGACAGAGGACGTACTGTCATACATGGACTTGTATGACATAATTTTACTGCAGAAACAGTAAATCTTCCTATGTTCTGTTCAGTCGTGTATAGAATTGTGTGTTCATAGCATTTATTGTTGGTGAACAAGCACAACAAACATTAATTGTTCCTAAATAATAAATGCAAACAGACAAAACAAACCCAATGTTTTTAGTCTGAAAGGAAGTGTGTCAAAATTTGGATGGAAGGAAACATAATTTAATAATAGAAGATACCTGAGATTAGAGAAAAAAAGTAAAAACAATTGAAAAAAAAATCTTTGTAACTGAATTAATTGAAGGCAAACCAAAAAAGCTGGACTTTACATGTCAAGACATTTTTTGTGTTAAAAACATCGTAATTAAAAACTGTCTGCATTTTGTGTGTCGTTATAAAAATACTGACCCCAGGTTCCCTGCTGGGCTACTCTGCATAATTAGCATGCACAGCATCAAAAGACAAATCTAATATATCAATGAATAGCAATGGAATTATCCAATTAAGACTAATTTTAATGCAGGTGGACAGGAGTCGGATTTTCCTACAGTCAACATTGGGATGGATTTTAAATAGCTTTTTGTTTGCTTTTCTTTCAGCCAATTATCAAAGGTTGAATCTGATGGACTTTCATCTTTTCCATCGTTACCAGATATGCAAATATTGATAATGCTAGCCCAGTATCAGTAATTCTGGCTAGAGACGACAATAAGTACACTGTCCTTGCTGTCAATGGCAGGGGTACACAGGAAGGGTGGATGGCAACTGTCAACTTCAAAAGAGGTGGACTCTTCAATACTCTGACTGTTGAATACCATGTAGGATAATAGAAAACTGGAATAAGGGCACAATTTACCCATCAGTCAATAAATGTTTAATCTGGTTAGATATGTCAGTCTGAAACAAAAAAGGATAAATTTTGCACAGGAATGGTTCCTTTGCCATTTATCCTTTTTTGTTTCAGAGCATTCCCTGCTAGCAGTGGTCTCTTTCCTCTGCTCGTTTCCTTGCAAATTTTAGAATCCAGTGGAATATTCCAGTACCCGATTCCAGTACTTGATCTCAGCAACCAACTATATATATCCCAAGATACAAATGGCTCAGTACCACGTGAGTGGGACAATTTGTTTTAATCTGTTTTAAAGTATTCTATGCAGATGTCACTATGATTTGTTTCTTTAGGTTTTATCCTATTTGATGGTAAATTGCATGTGTGGTATTTCATGCATTTTTAGTGTGCTCTCACCAACTTTTTATTCACTTTTAAGTACTGTATTTTGTGTGGTTTGGGTGACCTACACTAGGTGATTGGAGCATTTTTTTTCTTAATTTTTTACCTTTTTTTAAACCTATTGTTATGTTATTCCCACTAACCTAATGCTGAATACTACTAATAGTGGTGGTGGCAGTGGTGGTAGTGGCTGCAGTGGCAGAGGTATCACACTCTTTGTGGATGAGGAAAACGTGTTAAGACTCTAATTAGCCCTGGAACTGCTGCTGTTTTTGTGATTGGGGAACATGACCTGTATCCTCCCTCAATTTCTTCTTGGGATTATGACATAACATTGATAATGGTGGGTTTATTTTTATTATTATTAACATATATTGGGATATAAATGTTTATTGTGTGTTGTGTAAAGTAATGCAACTTTCCAATCCCAAATAGATGTTTGTGTTGAAAAATTAGTTGCTGCTTGTTGGATTTACTAGCATTGTAACATTATTGTCTTTGGCTTCAAGAAACACTAAAAAAAAATAAGTTATCTCTGTTTTTGTTTTAAGTATATTTGACTGATGAATACTTTGGCCATTAATGTTGCTCAGGAGTAAAGTGGGAGTTTGAGTGCATGATTACATTTTCGTTAAAGAAACACTACATAATACACAGCACACCATGCACTGCACAGTGCTTACACACTTGCACAGCGTAGACTGGACTAAACACACTCTAAACAAAAATAATTCTTTCTACAAACAGTTAAGAAAAAAAGAACTGCCAAACTCAAAATCAGTGAATTAAAATTGGTGTAAGTAGCAGTGGCTAGTTACAACAGTAACCTAACCACCAGTCTCACAATAGGAATAATTACAGTGTTATTAAACAGTGTTATAAACTTGATGTTTGCGTAAATTTCACTGTGCATCTGGCACTTGCTAGTCATAGCAGTAGCTAAGCCAGACTAACAGTAAGATCAAGGACCCAGGCTTTCTTCTACTAAAAGTTATCAAACGTGAAACTATCAGTACATAGATTGGAACAACAGTAATCTAAACCTAACCAGTCTCACACTAGGATCAATGACCTAGGCTATCTCTCACTCAAAGTTGTTGTAATAGAAACTTGCAGTAGCTAAGTAAATACAGCAGTAACCTAAATCCAATCAGGATAAATGACAAGTTTATCTCCCGTTCCCACACAAGCACAGCCAGTGTAATAAATAGTCTGTCCTTTCTTCCCCCCCTCTATTTGTCACTTCTAACTTGATCTGTGAATAACATCAACATTAAATGGCTGCCCCCTAACCATCAGTGATCTATTTTTCGACTTCTTGATTGGACAGGAGATGTAGACCACATCATCGGGCAACTTTGTGTTGTCAAACTAACTCCAAATCCTGAAGCAACCCAACATGCTCGTCCATCGTTTTTTCGGTTGCACTCTTGCAAGGAACTTTGGAGATAGAAATTTTGTCCAAACATCCGATTGTCCCAAATTTGTAAAAATTGCCATTTGGATTAAATGAAATGCTATTTATGGATGATCTTCTTAAATTTTACTTTACATGCTTTGAAAATTATCTAAACATTTATGAATCTGTACAGATAAAACTTTGATGTCAGTTTAATATTGTGGTATTGTAAGCTTTCCAAATGATTTAACATTTTTAAACGCTTTAAATTACTTTCTCAGTATATTAGAGCACTAACGCATATATCATATATACAGAAAAAAATCAATATATTAATAATAATAATATAAAGTAATTTAAATATTTTTCACAATAACCTGGTTGTAGTTCAACTAAGGAGCCACAAATTGGTCTTTTTTTTTTTTTTTAATAGGATAGTGATTTCTAAACACAGGTTAAGCTATAAAAAAACCATCAAATCACATACCCGTCATTGAAAGCATATGTCCAGTTTCCATATCCAATGTCACATTTTGGACCTTTATGAATTCCAACTACTGCAATTATAAAGCTGTAGCCAGCACCAACAAATCCAATGGCTGCAAATAATAAAGAAGAAAACATCTGCAAGAAGAAGAGAGAGCACAGAACACTTTAAAGAAACTTTGAACTCAAAAAGGGATAACAAATACTTTAGACTTAGTGTGCCTATACTAGTATGCAAATTTAGCTAACTGAACATGATGGGTGTTGCAATCCAACCACTGCTGGAGGCACACGGTTAATGAAGATTTCTGTTTACTGGATTACAGAATTAGTCAGCTGCTGGATAAGATTTAAGTCCATGCAACTGAAGTCCATGCAACTATGTTTTAGACATCCACATTTGAAGCCCACCATTGAGTAAACTCTGCTAAAGGAACTCTCCAAACAGCTAAAGTGCTTTATGTATGTAGAATGTGTTTAAGTCCTGCAAGTAGTGAGATGGAGTCTCGGATTTGTTGTTCTAGCTCATCCCACATATGATGAATTGGATTGAGATATAAGGAATTAAGAGGTCCAAGTGACACGTTTAACTCTTTGTCATGTTTTTCAAACCATTCCTGAACAATGTTTGCAGTGTGGTATGGTGCATTATCTTGCTGAAAGAGGCCACTGCCATCTGTGAACACCATCGTCCTGAAGCAGTGTACGTAGTCTGCAGAAATCTCCAGGTAGCTGGTACATGTCAAAGTAAAATCCACATTAATGCCAGGACCCAAGGTTTCCCAACAGAACATTTCCCAGAGCATAAGTCTGCCTCCACCAACCTGTCTTTTTCCCATTGTGCATCCTGATGCATCTCTTCCACAGGTAAACGGCACATGCTTACCTGGCCATCCACCCGATCTAAAATGAAAACGTGATTCATCAGACTGGACAATCTTCTTCCATTGCTCTATGGTCCAGTTCTGATGCTTAAGTCCTCATTGAAGGACTTTTTGGCGGTGGACAGGAGTCATCGTGGGCACTCGGATCGGTCTGCAGCAAACTGCGATGCACTTTGTGTTCTGATCTTTTCTATCATGGCCAGCATTCAGTTTTTCATTAATTTGAGCTACAGTAGGTCTTCTGTGTGATGGGACCAGACAGGCTAGCCTTTGCTATTCTGGTGCATAAATGGCCCTTGGATGCACATGACCCTGATGCCGGTTCACTGATAAATCTTCCTTGCAACACTTTATGTAGGTACTAACCAGTGCGTTTCGGGAACATCCCATAAAACTTGCTGTTTTGGAGATGCTCTGATCCAGTCATCTAGCCATCATTATTTTGTCCTTGTTAAGATCACTCAGATCTTTTTGCCTGCCAATTTGTCCTGCTTCCAACATGTTAGCTGCCTAAAATAGCCCACCCCCTGACAGATGCCATTGTAATGATATAATTAATATTATACACTTGATCTGGCAGTAGTTTTAATGTTGTGTCTGATCATTAAACTATTAGTGGATTAAAGGACCACTATAGTGCCAGGAAAACATACTTGTTTTCCTGGCACTATAGTGCCCTGAGGGTGCCCCCACCCTCAAGGTCCCCCTCCCGCCCGGCTCTGGAAGGGGGAAAGGGGTTTAAACTTACCTTTTTCCAGCGCTGGGCGGAGAGCTCTCCTCCTCCGATCCTCCTTCTCTCCTCCCCGTCAGCTGAATGCGCACGCGCGGCAAGAGCTGCGCGCGCATTCAGCCGGTCACATAGGAAAGCATTCATAATGCTTTCCTATGGACGCTGGCGTGCTCTCACTGTGAAAATCACAGTGAGTAGCACGCAAGCGCCTCTAGCGGCTGTCAATGAGACAGCCGCTAGAGGAAATAGGGGAAGGCTTAACCCATTCATAAACATAGCAGTTTCTCTGAAACTGCTATGTTTATGAAAAAATGGGTTAACCCTAGCTGGACCTGGCACCCAGACCACTTCATTAAGCTGAAGTGGTCTGGGTGCCTAGAGTGGTCCTTTAAGGTGTCAATTGTCTGGTAAAACCTATTGCATACTGGCTGTTTGAAGATCATGGTTCTAGCACACACTAAACAGAGTGTAGCAGAACCATCACTAAAATATAATCAGACATCCCCCAAAAATGCGAAATGTAATTATCATATACAATACTTGGCAATATCTTTTACTTACAGCAAATCTCTTCCCACAGTTTTCATTCCCACAACATCCACAGCAGTCATTATTTTTCAGACCAAGAAACACCAGAGCTGGAAAGATCATCTGTGAAGTGAGACACAATCACATGAGCATAAGAAAGGACAAGCCTATTTTTTCACATTCTCTAAGTGATATAAGTAAATAAAGTGAAGTAAATCAAGTAAGAAAAGAACCACTTAAATGATGGTATAAAGAATGAATACATATCATAGTTAAATATAACTACTGTAAGTGTACTATTTATGCAGACGTTGTTAGGGTTTTCAGTATATAGACACATGTAAACTCCTCGTTAGCTGATGGCCAACAGTATACCACCCAAGCAACTGAGGAGCATATAGGACTCCTGTTATACATGGTTTGCATACAAGCTCCTTATCAGTTGAATTAGCATTTTTACACATTTGTGTATGTTTTTACCTCATCAGTAGAGTCTATATCCAGGAACTCTTATTTTCTTGTTATAACAGATAGTTTAGTTTTTACATAAGAGGTGAAATTGTCAGCATCAATTATTATGTTATAATAAATAATTAAGTTCCTAATTTGATTATGTATCTGTATTGACATTCCCAGCCCTTTCCTAGCAAAGTGCAAAAGGAGTAGTTCTGCCCCAGAACAGAGAATCACAGTAATGCAGGCTCACAATGGAGCGAACCTTCTAGCCATTGGTTAGTGAACATTCCGCCCTAGAGAGTAAACATTCACCACCCCTGATCAAAGCTCCATAACCCCTCCAGGTGTGCAGTGGTGAGTAGCCTTAAAGCCTGCCTAGTAATGTAAGACTCTACATTTTATGCCCTGCTTTTATTTAGATTCTTTTAAAAATAAATGAATGCTGATTTGGAATTAAATATTAAAAAAGAAAAAGAAAAAAAGATTCAATAACCTGGCACAGGCTTCATAATAATGATAACCTAAAAATGTAAACCTAGAAATACACACCATTCATATCTTGTCTCTGTAGGCTTTATATTGAAAATCTATAGGGAATTCGAAGAAAAAAAAGAGAGAATGAGAGACTGTAAAGACTAAGGGGAGGTCTAAAGAGAGGGTAAAAGAGAGATCAATGAATAGAGATAAACAGACCATCAACTGTGGTGTGGAGAGGAATGGAAGAGAGGTAGGGAAAGCAGTGAGAAAATATAAAGAGTATTCAAGACATTTTAATGATGCAGAAAGATGGGAGATTAATATTAAAATAAGAGATAGATGTCAGGGTTCCCACCTCTAGATGGTGTTGTTGGCAAACAGTACTGTGCACCATTTCTGTATCAATATTGACGCAGGATCCCTATCCAGTGACATTCTACCAACACCATGGGCAATTCACATGCCAAGATAGACAAAGGATTCCGTCACCAGCAACAAGATAATAAAACTACACACACCTAAATCGACACAAGTTCTTCTCTGAATCCAAGCCATGCATTACACTGGCGTAAAAAATAATCCAGTGATACTTCTCTAAGTGCTTTCCTGTGTGTTTCTGATTTATCTGGTTTTGACCGTGGCTTGTATTTTGACTTTCCTGTCTTGAGCTTGGCTTGTTCTTATGTCTGTAGTCCTTTGATTAGTTTATTGACTATTCTATATCTGTCTTATACATTAAACCCAGCCACCTCTAAGGACCGGTAATTCATTATTTTTTTCCTGCAGTCATAGATTTGCATTTTGGGACTCTGTACATTGCTGACAGTAGATCCATCAAGATACTGGGTGAAAAAGAGAAACCAATAAAAAAGGAGAGCCATAAAAAAGATAATGAGCATTTAAAGAAAAACTTCATGAAGAAGTAAGAGAAGTAATTTCTCTTACAATTCCCCAAAGCCATGCCCTTTAATCATCCCCCGAAACTATGCCATCTAGCCATCTTACCAAACACCCTAACCATGCCCTCTCTCCCCCAAAACATGTCCTCTAACTAAGCCTTCTTACCATTCCTCTAACCATGCCATCGAACCATCCTCACTAACCATGCCCTCTAACTATTCTACAAAAACATGACCTCCATGCTCACTCACCATTCCCTCTAATAATATCATATAACCATGCTCTCTAACCATTTACCCTAACCATGCCCTCTAACTATACCTTATAAACATTCCTCCGACCTCTAACCGTTCCCTCTAAACATCCCTCAACCATCACCTCTAAAAATGCCCTCCATATTCTCTAAGCATGCGATCTATCCATCCCCCTAACTATGCCCTCTGCCCATTCCCAATAACCATGTCCACTAAATATATTTTCTAATCATGGCTTCTAAAATGTGTCCAGAGTTAACTCATCAAAAGGTCATCAAAAACTAGTTCTGTATTTTACATGTTAAGCGCCATAAATTGCATACACACGGATTAAGGATTATTTCCTGGAAACCTTTCCAAAATGTATTTAGCATGTTAACAAATCAATAACAAAAATTAACTTCATATAAAACAAAATGTAACTAAAAAGGCGAAATTTTAGCTTTTAAGTTCAGGGAAAGAAAAGGCAACAAAAAGAAAATACCCATTATAATAATAATACTATCATCAAACTTTAACCCCTACACTACACCATAACTAAACATTATCCCATACACTGTGCTAACACTAAATATTAAAGGAACACTGTGGGTAGAATAACCACTTTAATGGATTGTAGTGATCATAATGCCTGGAGTCCATGTGTACTGGGTCCCACATCATAACTAAACGTGTACTCACAATTTAGTAGAATTTCCTTGAAACAATCCCTGCCGCAATCCCAGGTATGAATTGGCAGGGTGCAAGGTGGATTGTTTAATTCCACCTCTACCATATCTTCATTGGAGTTCACGGTTCAGACTGCTGGTGACTGTGAGTAAACTGTGTAGTAGTGATGCAGTACCCGGCATCAGCAACATCCAGGCACTATAGTAACTTCAATCCATTGATGTGGTTATGGTACCTAAATGTTTGCTTTATCCCTACACTACACAAACAATTCACCCCTACAGAACCCTAACACTAGCCATTAACCCCTACACTAACCCTAACATTAAGACTAGAACTAACCCTCTTTAATCTGATTATAAATAATTTCGAAGTGGACATAGAAAGTAATGTTTGCAGATTACAGATAACTACGTAAAGTAATATAGTCTGAACGTGATATAACTTTCCTAGAAAAAGATCTACATAAATTGGGGGACTGAGCAGGCAAGTGACAGAAGAGTATGAATACACTGGAGCTTTGAGCATTCGAAGTACAATCAAGCCTAGTGAAATCTACATATTGGTACTGAAATAATTATGAAACAAAAAATGTACATAATTCCCACATTCATATTTGTACAGTAACAAATTGTTCCTGTTTCAACAGCTCAGAGAGCTGCAGCTAATAATCTTGATATGGAATTTTTCAGAAATGGTTTTATTAAAGAATATAGGCCACAGAGAAAATCTCACAGAGGTGAATTATTCTATTTGAACACCAAACTCTTAGTGAACAGAGTGAGTTTTCAAAGCAAATACAATTCACCTCTAAATTCACCCTTACGAGCTAAAGAGCAAATAGTGTAAAGTTGATCAATAAAATGAATGGTATAAAGAAATATATTGACTCCTTAATAACATTTCTAAAGCACTCCAAATGTGAGAAGAAATGCAGCAAAGGACAGAAAATGTGTCCGGAATATAATGTTTCCTGGCTAATTATAGTCGTCTAATCCCTACAGCTAGAAATGAGAGGTTAATGTGACTAATAACACGAGAAAATCGAATCCTAAAGTTGTATAAGCTTTTACACTCAAGGGTATATGAATCAGTCATCTCAAGTAATAAGGTAGAAAAGATAGGTAATCAGAAAGACAGACTAGAACCTCTGCCAATGAAAGCTGTAGCCTACTTAACCACGATGGGTAATAATATGTCACATGGAGAAAAAGGTAAGATGGACTTAAAAACGATCCTCATAGTTGTAACACGGCTGATACCTTAACGATTAAAAGGTTCATTTAAATGACATACAATATACCAGGAGAAAACTAGAAACATAGAAACATAGAATGTGACGGCAGATAAGAACCATTCGGCCCATCTAGTCTGCCCAATTTTCTAAATACTCTAATTTGTCCCCTAGTCTTATCTTATAGTTAGGATAGCCTTATGCCTATCCCACGCATGCTTAAACTCCCTCACTGTGTTAACCTCTACCACCTCAGCTGGAAGGCTATTCCATGCATCCACTACCCTCTCAGTAAAGTAATACTTCCTGATATTATTTTTAAACCTTTGTCCCTCTAATTTAAGACTATGTCCTCTTGTTGTGGTAGTTTTTCTTCTTTTAAATATAGTCTCCTCCTTTACTGTGTTGATTCCCTTTATATATTTAAATGTTTCTATCATATCCCCCCTGTCTCGTCTTTCCTCCAAGCTATACATGTTAAGATCCTTTAACCTTTCCTGGTAAGTTTTATCCCGCAATCCATGAACCAGTTTAGTAGCCCTTCTCTGAACCCTCTCTAAGGTATCAATATCCTTCTGAAGATACGGTCTCCAGTACTGTGTACAATACTCCAAGTGAGGTCTCACCAGTGTTCTGTACAATGGCATGAGCACTTCCCTCTTTCTACTGCTAATACCTCTCCCTATACAACCAAGCATTCTGCTAGCATTTCCTGCTGCTCTATTACATTGTCTGCCTACCTTTAAGTCATCAGAAATAATCACCCCTAAATCCCCTTCCTCAATTGTTGAGGTGAGGACTCTATTAAATATTCTGTACTCTGCCTTTGGGTTTTTACGTCCAAGATGCATTATCTTGCACTTATCCACATTAAATGTCAGTTGCCACAATTCTGACCATTTTTCAAGTTTACCTAAATCATTTGTCATTTGGCTTATCCCTCCTGGAACATCAACCCTGTTACATATCTTAGTATCATCAGCAAAAAGACATACCTTACCATCAAGACCTTCTGCAATATCACTAATAAAAATATTAAAGAGAATGGGTCCAAGTACAGATCCCTGAGGTACCCCACTGGTGACAAGTCCAAGCTTCGAATATAGTCCATTAACTACAACCCTCTGTTGCCTGTCACTCAGCCACTGCCTTACCCATTCAACAATATTGGAATCCAAACTTAAAGATTGCAGTTTATTGATAAGCCTTCTATGTGCAACAGTGTCAAAAGCCTTACTGAAATCTAGGTAAGCAATGTCTACTGCACCACCCTGATCTATAATTTTAGTTACCCAATCAAAAAAATCATAAGATTAGTTTGGCATGATCTCCCTGAAGTAAACCCATGTTGTCTCTGATCTTGAAATCCATGTGTTTTTAGATGTTCAACAATCCTATCCTTTAATATGGTTTCCATCACTTTCCCCACTACTGAAGTAAGGCTTACTGGGCTATAGTTGCCCGACTCCTCCCTATTACCTTTCTTGTAAATGGGCACAACATTCGCTAACTTCCAACTAGACTAAATAGAGCCTAAAGGTAATCATATAAGTCATATAAAATAGAGATATAAAAGCATGCTAAAATACAACCACTTCTACTTCGGTTACTGAAATGTTACTGGTATTTGTCCATTTTCTCATGTTCGCTCTTCCAAATCCTATAGTCACTGGGTATTGCCATAGCCACCACTTCTGCTGTTTTCTATTCCTTTCTACAACCATAATGTCAGGTTGGTTGGCCAGTACTTGCTTGTCTTTTTGCACCTGGAAGTCTCACACGAGTGTCTGAATCTCAAAGTCTGGAAGTATCTGGATTGTCTCTGAGGCCTCTATGTGCAGTCTACAGTCTTGTCTGGTGTGGTAGACAGTCTCTTCTAGTGATCTGGTGCTGAGTTCCTGAGCTGCTAGGATAGTGCCTCAGACTCACTTTCAGTCTTACAATTTTCAACTACAGTGGGACCTCAGTTTACGAACTTAATGTGTTCTCCGGGACGTTTCGTGTTGCGAAACATTTGGAAACCGAAATGCGGTTTCCCATAGGAATGCATTGAAAATGAATTAATCTGTTCTGGAGGTGAGAAAAAAGTAAAAATGAGCTGGCATAGAAACCAACCCACAATGCAGAACACACAATAAAAGGCATGCAAACGATGAAGCTCAGCTCCCTACCTTTCCATAGCTTGAAAAATGCACCAAAAAGTCCCAAAACAATTGAAAACAATTTCAAGAATGGCTCCAAAACTCGATGCAAAAGTCGCTCTAACACATCCACACTCAACACCATGTGCTACCCACAGGCTCCAGCATGCAGGGGGCTGTGCTATAAACCTCCCAGGTGCAATGCATCCTGGGGAAACCTGCTTTGTATTGCGAAAAAAAATTGTAAACTGAGGCATTATTTTCAATTTATTTTTATTTGTAAACCGAAAATTATGTTAACCGAGGCGTTTGTAAACTGAGGTCCCACTGTATTATTAAGATTTCATAATGTAAGCCATATCCACTATATATCAATAATTCATTCCATGGAAAGGCTTGTACTTGCCATTGAAGTGGGACTTCAGGACCTGTCTGACTCTCTGGAAGTACTCGGATGTTGCTATCCTCTTTGCATCCTCCTTATGGTTACCATATGTTTGTGGTATTCTCAGGTACTTGTAGCATTTTTTAACATCTCTAATTTTGCTATCTGGCACTTCAACTCCTTCAGTTTGCAATTCCAATGTCCCTGCTGTATATCCTACTTTGGCAGATCAGTGAGTCGATGTCACGCTCACTTTTGACATATGACTTGATGTCATCCATGTAGAAGAGGTAGCTGATGGTCGCTCAATTCTTGAACCTGTATCCGTATCCACTCTTCATGATGATCTGGCTGAAGAGGTTGAGGCCTATTCACAAAAGTGTCGACTTTGTACATGTCACATTTGATGTTTGATGTGTAATTATACTTGATTTTGCTTCTAGAGTTGTTCTCCAGTTACCCATCGAGTTCTTGATGAAGGTTCTTATTGACTTGTTGACCTTGTTTAGAGCCAAACATTCCAGTATATATCCAGATAGTAGGCATGTGCATGGGGAAAATGTTCGGTTCGGCATTCTGAAATTCGGGACTTCGGCAATTCGGCACTTTAACACTTTGGAACTTCGGCACTTCAGCACTTCTGAACTTTGACACTTCGGAAACTTCGGCACTTCAGCACTTCGACATTTCGGAACTTCGGAATTTCGGAACTGCTGCATTTTGGGACTTCGGGACTTCTCTTGCAGCCGCTTAGTAGATAACTCCCTAATTCCCATGGTATTAGGGAGTTATCTACCAAAAGGCAGAAAGACCTAAATTGGTCTTTCAGACAAATTTACTAATACTAAGTATTAGTAAATTTTAACAGGGGCCTGTGGCTGCTCACTGTTAAAAAAAAACAAAAACAAATAGGGTCCCCCCTCCCGAGCCCCCACCCGTGATGCACGAGTGGGGGCTATTAAATCGAGTGGGGACCTATTGCCCCGTGGCCCCCACCCCTGAGCGGTGGGTGGGGGCCCTAAATACTAATAAGGGGGGGGACCTAATGTCCTCCCCCCTGGCCCCCACCCCTGAGCGGTGGATGAGGGCCATACAGTTAAATAAGGGAGGGGACCTAATGTCCTCCCCCTGGCCCCCACCCCTGAGCAGTGGGTGGGGGCCCTAAATTGGAATAAGGGGGGGACCCAATGTCCTCTCCCCTGGCCCCCACCCCTGAGCAGCAGGTGGGGGCCCTAAATACTAATAAGAGAGGGACACACCTAATGACCTCTCCCTTGGCCCCCACCCCTTAGGTTCCCCCCTCTTATTAGTATTTGGGGCCCCCACCTGCCACTCAGGGGTGGGGGCCCTGGCCCCCACCCACCGCTCAGGGGTGGGGGCCAGGGGGGAGGTCATTAGGTCCCCCACTATTAGTATTTAGGGCCCCCACCTGCCGCTCAGGGGTGGGGGCCCTAAATACTAATAAGAGGGGGGGACCTAATGTCCTCCCCCCTGGCCCCCACCCCTGAGCGGTGGGTGAGGGCCCTAAATTGGAATAAGGGGGGGACACCTAATGTCCTCCCCCTTGGCCCCCACCCCTGAGCGGCGGGTTGGGGCCCTAAATAAAAATGTTACCCCCCCAGGTGACATGGGTCCCCAAACCCCTAGTCACCCCCCCAAAAAAATTTAACCCCTACCTACCCCCCTCACCCTAAAAATAATGAGGGGGGACCTTCAACTAAGTACCTGTAAAAAAAAAAAAAAAAACTTACCATTTGATGTTTTCTTTCTTCTAAAATCTTATTTTTTGAGTCCCAAAAAAGGCCAAATACAAAATCCATATTAACCGACGCACTTAAAAAAACAAAAACAAAACGAGCGCAAAAAAAAAAAATCCATCTTCACCCGGCGAGGGCTCCGTGTAGACTAAAGCCTTGCCACGCCCTGCAATTAGGCTCAGAGCACTCTGATTGGTGGGTTTAAGCCATCCAATCAGAGTGCTCTGACAGGTAAATGAAGAGACTGACAGGTAAATCTCTACATTTACCTGTCACAGCACTCTGATTGGTTGGCTTGAAATCCACCAATCAGAGTGCTCTGTGTCATTGGGGCAAGGCTTTATAAGCCTTCCCCCACCCTGCAGAGCTCAGTCTGCGCGGCGCCCTCGCTGGGTGAAGATGGATTATTTTTTTTTGCACTCGTTTTTTTTTTTCAAAGTGCGTCGGTTATTATAGATATTTTATGTGGCCTCTTTTGGGGCTGAAAACAGAAGGTCCCCCCCCTCATTATTTTTAGGGTGAGGGGGGTAAGTAGGGGTTAATTCTTTTTTGGGGTAAAATTTTTATTTAGGGCCCCCACCCACTGCTCAGGGGTGGGAGGACAATAGGTCCCCCCATTGGTATTTAGGGCCCACACCCGCCGCTCAGGGGTGGGGGCCAGAGGGGTCATTAGGTCCCCCACTATTAGTATTTAGGGCCCCCACCCGCCACTCGGGGGGGGCAGGGGGAAGACATTAGGTCCCCCCTTATTAGTATTTAGGGCCCCCACCTGCCGCTCAGGGGTGGAGGCCAGGGGGAGGACATTAGGTCCCCTCCCTTATTAGTATTTAGGGCCCCCACCCACCGCTCAGGGGTTGGGGCCAGGGGGGAGGACATTAGGTCCCCCCTTAATTATTATTTAGGGCTCCCACCCACCGCTCAATATACTCTAAAATATGGGGATTTTAATAGTCTGAGATTTGTCTGACTCTCATGATATAATTCTCTAAGGCCCAAATGTGACTCTAAAACCATAAAATTCAAGGGAAAACCATTCCTGAACTTCACCGTTAATACTTAAAAAAATGTCTTGATCACTAAAAGCAAATTAGAGGCACATTTTATCATTATCCTAAATATGCTAACCCACTTCATGGCAAAAATAACACTTATATGTCTGAATTATATGCAATGTACAGAAAATCAGGCATATATGAAACTCTGAATTGATCCTGAACCTAGCTATTCAGGAAAATTTAGAATTTGAAGGAGCCAAGTCCATGATTCTTTGAATATTAAATTAAGTTAGCTATAATTAGGCACAACTGTTTGTGGACTTTAATCTAAAGTTTGTAGCACTTTTATACATAGTGTATGTAGGACTTGCCCACAAGCTTACAATCTAAAGGAACTAAACGTAGCTGGGGAGAAACAAAGTATGAAGTGTAGCAAAGAAAATGCTTTTTAGATGTTGTCAATTAAAGTGATGGTGAAATGGATATTTGATAATTGGATGACGCCACACAGATTAAGACATATGGTCTATAAAATAAAATTAATAAATTAAAATAAGGACAGGGTAGGTGGGTGGGTGTAAAATGTATGTAGTATGTTGCTTAGTATAGGGAAAGAGTTTGTCGCATGTGGGAATGCAGAGAGAATGAAGATAAAGACACACTGCACTTTCTTTTCTCATGAGGGAAGGGGATTATATGATGTTACAGCCACTTCAGTTACTTAAAAAGTTAAAAATTGCTATCCGTCATGTTGTTAATTAAATTCATAACACATGGTATATTTGAGTTACAGTAAAAATATGCAGATCAAATAACAGATATGATAAAGATGTGTCGTGAGTTATAGATGTTCAGTTCCTTAAATTCAGCAACAGAAACATTAGTGTGCTGCTCTGTTGCCTGTGATGTATGCTATTGATACAATTTTCTTTTATAATACAATATATTTCACATTTTATATATTTTATATTTTACACTTACCAGAACTCCAGACCCCAAAATCCCTCCAAAGTACCAGACTTCATCTGAAATATGTCCATTGTCTGATGCAACTTTGCCGCCCGGAAAAAAAAGCAAGGTATTGGCCAGTATACACAGAATGGCTAGTGGAATTAGGGCAATGCCCAGGCATTTTGCACAATTCCCAGAACACATACTTTTGATTTAAAAGAGAAATAATGTACTCCAAAAATATCGACTTTCAATAATGATATAGTCCTAGTATTGAATAATCCTCTGCAGATGGAGAATAATTGTCTCCGGACTGTAGTTACACAATGAACTAGCAATTTATATGCCCGCAGGTATAGGAACCCCTATTCTACCTGATTACGTACAGAGAAACAGTTTGTCATGGCGACTAATAACCCCTGTTAATATTCTACTGAAACAGACATGACACTCTCATTGATCTCCTGTTTGGTCTCTTAGAAGCAGATATGATAAAACCTTCCAAAGTTTTGGCAGTTGCAACCTTTCTGTGTCCTTTTATTAATAATTACCTTCTAAATATGTAGACGTACTCAGCTTCATTCTAGTTCAGTTCAATGTTAAAGTTCTTTTGATGCATTTAAAAAAGGTTTATTGCATGCGTGTGTTACTTTTTACGAAGTTACACAGAAACCAACTCTAAAAACTTAATCTTTTTTTTTGTACAACCGGTTCTCTTTTCAAATTGACTTTAAATTAAAAAATATTACCTGAGTAATTATTGTTGGTAGTACTTTAATAAAAAATCTTGCAAAGGTTGGGTATCAGGCGTGACTTTATGTTACAGACATTTAAACTATCTAATTTAAAATTTCAATTTCAAACACTTTATTTTATGTGATGGAATATTACCTAAACACTCAGATGGCCTGAATTTTACATTGCTTGCCTTTAATGGATTTGTTTGTTGGGGTCAGTATTTGGAGCACAAAATGTCAGAGGTTTTTGTGAGCTTTTAAAAAACAACTACTTGTGATTTAGAAACATAGAAACATAGAATGTGATGGCAGATAAGAACCATTCGGCCCATCTAGTCTGCTCAATTTTCTAAATACTTTCATTAGTCCCTGGCCTTATTTTATAGTTAGGATAGCCTTATGTCTATCCCACGCATGCTTAAACTCCTTTACTGTGTTAACCTCTACCACTTCAGCTGGAAGGCTATTCCATGCATCCACTACCCTCTCAGTAAAGTAATACTTCCTGATATTATTTTTAAACCTTTGCCCCTCTAATTTAAGACTGTCCTTTTGTTGTGGTAGTTTTTCTTCTTTTAAATATAGTCTCCTCCTTTACTGTGTTGATTCCCTTAATATATTTAAATGTTTCTATCATATCCCCCCTGTCTCATCTTTCCTCCAAGCTATACATGTTCAGATCTTTTAGCCTTTCCTTGTAAGTTTTATCCTGCAATCCATGAACCAATTTAGTAGTCCTTCTCTGAACTCTTTCTAAAGTATCAATATCAAATGCCAGTCACCACCCTGCAATTCCAGCAGCTGGTACGAAGGAGTCCCATCATGTTAGAGGATTTCTATCAGTTGATTTTAATTTTGAGGACCTTCTGTCTAAGGGTGATATGCATGAGGAGGAATACTATGCTACGGGAGAGCCAGTTTATGCCCGGAGGGCTATTTTGAGGAGGGGGGGGGGTACGGTCACGGTTCTCCCCGTGGCATGCAGACAACTAAGCATGGCCACCCCACAGGTGTCTTACAGGGGATTAAATCTTGGGCCATTCAGTATCCTAAGTCTGCTTTCCTGCCACTGAGCCACTGCTGAACTTCATGTAGTCTGTATACAAGACAGTTATCTCAATTCTAGAGAAAAGTGAAACTCCAGGTGTAAGCACCAAGAAAGGTGACTCTGCTTAAGTATTCTTTCTTATGCACAGGGACACATATTTTACTAATGCTAAGGAAAAATTCAGTTTGGCAAAAGAAGGAGCCTAGTAGCATTTAGCTAGTATACTTTAGAACATTTGTTTTGGAAATTCAAGCCATATGCTTAGCAGTGTCTGGACTGATCAGAGTAAAGACATATGTGCTCAGTGTACAAACACGTTTTAGAAAACAAACTTCACTCTTTCTTATTCCCACTCATACTCTGCATATGAAAGTATCCACCTTTGTGTCAGTGCCTTCTGCTTCTGGGTGACATATAAGATACACCTTTCCCCCTGTCTTTCTGTATGTTTTGGTTTACTTTTATTCGTGTTGTTGCTTGTTATTGTTATGATTTACTATCTGAGTACATTCTAAGTGTATCAAAATACACTTAGAATGACATTGTATATATATATATATCTATGTATATATAAATAAATAAAAATAATACGAAACATACATATGTCCATGATGTGGAATCAATCAATTAATTGATTATCTTGCGTATCTGCCCCCGGCCAAATTTAAAAAAGATGCGTGCACGCTCCTGAAGTAATTCACACCAGACACAGGTTTCGGGTTAATGAAAAACTTGAGGAATCTTTATTCTGGGGGGACAGCATGCCCCTTATAAAGCAAAATTACATCATATGCATTGTCAGAGATAACATGGAATAATACATCAATAATTGGTTAGGTGTTAAGTGGTTCATTTAGTGCTCTTTCTACCGGGTGTGATGTCACTGGTATCTTGGAGGTCTCCCCCAGATTCCAGCGCCATCTTGTTAATGAGGGTGTTAGTCGATGTCAAAGGGAAACTCCCTAGCAGCCATTTTAGGTAAATCACATATAAGGTTGAATAATGCTGATTGTGGTTATGCTAAGTAAATAGGCATTTTAATAATATGAATTGGGTTAATATTTTGTCCACAACGGTCATATACAAAATAACATACATAATTATATAAATATACACGTAGACTTCAAATGTATAAATATGCATATATATTTAAATTCTACGTGCGTATTTATGTCATGTTTTTACATAATTAAGTAATTTTATTGATTGAAATTTGAGGGACCTGCCTGCCAACCCATGCCGAAAGTCCAGAGAATTTAATTTGCTAGCACTATATTTTACCCTCTAACTTTTTATGACACCCTAAAACCTGTACATGGGGGGTACTGTTTTACTCGGGAGACTCCGCTGAACACAAATATTAGTGATTCAAAACAGTAAAACATATCACAGCGATGATATTGTCAGTGAAAGTGACTTTTTTTGCATTTTTCACACACAAACAGCACTTTTACTGATATAATTGTTGTGATACGTTTTCCTGTTTTGAAACACTAATATTTGTGTTCAGCAAAGTCTCCCGAGTATAACAGTACCCCCCATGTACAGGTTTTATAGCGTTTTGAAAGTTACAGGGTCAAATATAAGGTCAAATATTTTTACATTGAAAATGGCCAGGTTGGTTACGTTGCCTTTGAGAGCGTATGGTAGCCCAGGAATGAGAATTACCCCCATGATGGCATACCATTTGCAAAAGAAGACAACCCAAAGTATTGCAAATGTGGTATGTCCAGTCTTTTTTAGTAGCCACTTAGTCACAAACACTGGCCAAATTTAGCGTTCAATTTAGTTTTTTACTTTTTTCACACACAAACAAATATGAATGCTAACTTTGGCCAGTGTTTTCGACTAAGTGGCTACTAAAAAAGACTGGACATACCCCATATTGAATACTCTGGGTTGTCTACTTTAAAAAAAATATGTACATGTGGGGTGTTATTCAGAGATTTATGACAGATAATAGTGTTACAATGTCACTATTGATAAATTTTAAAAATGTATGTTTTGAAACTGCAATATCCTACTTGTACCTATAGCCCTATAACTTGCAGGTATAGGGCTATAGGTACAAGTAGGATATGCGCATGCGCTGCAAGAGCCGCGAGCACATTCAAACAGTCCATAGGAAAGCGTTTCTCAATGCTTTCCTATGGACGTTCTGCACATTGGATGCGAATTTCGCATCCAGCGTCGCAGAAGCGCCTCTAGCAGCTGTCAGGAAGACAGCCACTAGAGGTTGGATTAACCCTGCAATGTAAACATAGCAGTTTCTCTGAAACTGCTATGTTTACATCTGAAGAGTTAAAATCTGGGGGACCTGGCACCCAGACCACTTCAGTGAGCTGAAGTGGTCTGGTTGACTATAGTGTCCCTTTAAGTTTTAGTATGTTTTTATGTGGAATTGCTTGTTTTGTAATCCTATTTTCCACCTTTGCTGTATTTTTTCTTTGTCCAACAAGCAATTAGTTTTTTGTTTATTTTGTTATAAATGCAATTATTTTATTCATAATTGTCAAAAAATAAACAAATTCTCACATTTTTTTTCAAAACACAAATATAAAAGTCTTTACATTATACCTAGGGCCAGAGGACTGGCCTTCTTCTGACCCTCTATGGGGTGTAAGAAGTATTATGTTAAAAGGCAAGTAAGCTTGTGGGCCTTCTGGGTCTGGCAAAGACATGTCTCAAATAGTTAAAAGATCTGATACGCTTAAGTGTTAAAATAGTGTTAAAATCCTAGTGTTAAAATAAATTTTACATTACTTGTGAGAAATATATGTATGAAATATATTTGAAAAATAAGGCCAAATTAGTGACAAAGTATAAGAAAAGTGAAAATCACATGATGTACAATTAGTAGTGAAATATCTTATGACAAAAAAATATATATTTTCTTATGTATTGTCATTTGTATTTTTATTTTATGTATTTTTTTATCTGGACAAAGGTGAAAAAGGTGAAAGAGTTAGAAGAGATTCTTGGATAGGGTGAAACAGACTTTCAGCTGCAGAGTAAAGATATTAAAATAATCTTGATACTGCATGCTGATTATCAGAAATATTACGATCCGATGGAGCCATAGGCAGTTTACCAGTTTGGGGCCCTCCATTTATTCTTCACTTAGCAATGGTTAATAGGGCCGTGCACATTTATAGTTCGTGAGCCTCTGCCTAGCCCCTGGGCCTTAGGCTGCCGTGTAGGGTTGCCTTATGGTTAATCCTGCTCTTTTAAATACTTCTCTTAACAGATTGCATATTTAACCAAGTACTCAGAGACTATTCAAAATTTAGAATGTGAGCAGTGGTAACATGTTTATCTACTCATGCACAAATCTTCTTTAAGCACAATATTTCCAATGAAGTTTATTGTTATATTGTTAAGTTGTTATTATTATATAAACTAATATTTTTTAAGAAAGC